AAGGGAAGGGAAGGGAAGGGATTCCCTGGGGTGCCCCCAATACCTGATTCCCTGCCCTAATTCCTGGATTTCCAGAGAGCCAGCCCACCACGTCAGACGAGACGGTGGTGGCGGGAGGGACTGTGGTGCTCAAGTGTCAGGTGGAGGATCCCGACGATTCGTCGCTCCAGTGGTCGAACCCCGCCCAGCAGACCCTCTACTTTGGGGAGAAACGGGGTGAGAGGGGGATTGGGGAGGGGGGAGGGATGGGATGGGATGGGGTGGGATGGGATGGGATGGGATGGGATGGGATGGGATGGGATGGGATGGGATGGGATGGGATGGAGAGCCCCATCCCCGTCCCCGTGGGGACCCTAAGCTGGGGGTTCACCCCATTGTCCCATCCCCCCCCTCCAGCCCTGCGGGATAACCGGATCCAGCTGGAGAAATCCACCCCCAACGAGCTGACCATCAGCATCAGCGACGTGGTGCTGGCAGACGAGGGCGAGTACACCTGCTCCATCTTCACCATGCCCGTGCGCACCGCCAAGGCCCTGGTCACCGTGCTGGGTACGCCAGGGGCACCCCCGCGGCGTGGGGAACGTCCCCAGGGCCTGGAGAATGTCCCCAGGGCAGGGGGAACGTCCCCAGGGCATGGAGAATGTCCCCAGGGCAGGGGGAATGTCCCCAGGGCAGGGGGAATGTCCCCAGGGCCTGGAGAATGTCCCCATCTCCATCTCTTGGAGAATGTCCCCAGAGCATGGAGAACATCTCCACTCCATCCCCATCTCCTGGAGAACATCCCCATCTCCTGGAGAACATCCCCATCTCCATCTCCTGGAGAATGTCCCCAGAGCATGGAGAATGTCTCCATCTCCATCCCCATCTCCTGGAGAACATCCTCAAATCCTGGAGAACGTCCCCATCCCCCGGAGAACATCGCTATCTCCATCCCCATCTCCTGGAGAACATTCCCAGAGCCTGGAGAACATCCCAGAGACTGGAGAACATTCCCAGAGACTGGAGAACGTCCCAGAGCCTGGAGAACATCCCAGAGACTGGAGAACGTCCCAGAGACTGGAGAACGTCCCAGAGACTGGAGAACATCCCAGAGCCTGGAGAACATCCCAGAGCCTGGAGAACATCCCAGAGCCTGGAGAACATTCCCATCTCCTGGAGAACACCCCCAGAGCCTGGAGAACATCCCAGAGACTGGAGAACATTCCCATCTCCTGGAGAACGTCCCAGAGCCTGGAGAACGTCCCAGAGCCTGGAGAACATTCCCAGAGCCTGGAGAACATCCCAGAGCCTGGAGAATGTCCCCAGAGACTGGAGAACATCCCAGAGCCTGGAGAACATTCCCAGAGACTGGAGAACATTCCCAGAGACTGGAGAACGTCCCAGAGCCTGGAGAACATTCCCAGAGACTGGAGAACGTCCCAGAGACTGGAGAACATCCCCATGTCCATCCCCATCTCCTAGAGAACATCTCCACTCCCTGGAGAACATCCCCACCACCTCCATCTCCATCCCCACCCCCTGGAGAACATCTCCATCTCCTGGAATGCATCCCCACCCCCATCTCCTGGAGAATATCTCCATCTCCACTCCCTGGAGAACATCCCCACCATCCCCA